GGAGGGAAGGGAAGGGAAGGGAAGGGAAGGGAAGGGAAGGGAAGGGAAGGGAAGGGAAGGGAAGGGAAGGGAAGGGAAGGTCTGAAAGGAGGAAGTTGAGATAAACTACAAATGTCCAAATGCTACTGTTGTCAAAGACTGTGTGTGCTAAAACTGGGTTGTAATGACAGCCAATTCAGTAACTTTACTAAAAATTAATGAACCATGTGCCTACAGTGTGTGAATTTCGTGGAATGCAAATTATCCTTGAACAAAGGCACTTTAAAATCACAAAGACCCGATTTTAAGCTTTCCAATTAATAGCATGGATGACTAGACACAGTGCCCTTAGCGAGCAAGCCTCAGAGGCCATCTACAGTAGAAAGATTCCAGGCCTCAGTGGGTTCTTACTCACTTTCCACGTAGGTATAGGAAGTGCCGTGAATGTCTTCTAGCCAATCTATCTATGCTAAATAGTTTTAACTTAACCAGTGCCAGCCCATGTCACTAGTAAGCTGCATGTGACTAATGTTAACTGTGTGTTTTGATCAGTGAATGTTTGAACCTAATAATATGTTATAAACTCATGTGATATCACAACACATATACTGAAGCCTTCAGTTATTGGCATCACGAAATAAACCCAAGTGAACCATTCAGGCTCACTCTGTCCCTTGTACCTGCAATTGTAATTAACAGACTCTTGGCCCTTTTTGCAATGCTGTCATCTGTCAGGATTCACTAACCTCTCATTCCAGCACTCGTTTGTCATAGCAACATTGCTGGCTCCTGTAAATATACATGTCTGTCCTCTGACCCCAGCTGCTCTCCAAACCACTGGAAGGATTTTCCTTTCTACCAAAATCTAAAAAGAAAGAGGGGAAAAGAAGAAAGAAACAAAAAGAGCAAACAAAACTTTGAGACTTCAGTTCACAAAAAGGGAGTCCCTAAATTCACATGGACTGAGAGCAAGCCCATGTTTGCAAGAGGGGCAATCGTGTCTGGGAGGAGCTAGGGATCTGTAGTTAGCGACATAAAGTCCCTGTCCTACCACATGAATACATCTTAGTCTTTTTGTGAACTTTTATCAATCATGATCTCTCTTTAGTGAAAGGGGAAGGGATGTATTTTGCTGACAGAGCTCTCATAACTCTTACAGAGAAATCCGAAACACCAGAAGCTTAACTTACATAGACCCTGACGCCTTGACGCAGCTCCCCTTGCTCAAGTTTCTGTAAGTACTGACTCCTTCTTTATTATGGTGTGTGTGTGTGTGTGTGTGTGTGTGTGTGTGCTTTAGACTTGTGATGTCATTGTCTATCAAGAATCTCCCTAACATGATATTGTCTTTTGTCATCATTTGAATTGTGTATGGCACAATCAGGTCACCTCTTGTGACTTCTCATCTTTCCCCATTGGGTAAAGTACCGTATGAAATGGCTCATATGCTTAAAGCCTATTCCAGAACATTAGCGCATAGTTCTGGAACCAGAGACCTTCTTCAAGAAACATGAGGAAGAAAACAGTAATATATATATATATATATATTCTTCTTTAAGTATGGACAAAACAAAATCCTGAGAACCAACTGAACAATTTTGTTTGGAAATAATACATATATTTACATTATTTTTATTTATATTGTCTATATTATATTTATTTGTGTTTATATTGTTTATGTTTATTTGTTTATCTTTATTTATGTTTGTGTTTATATTTACATTTTTTATTTTTATTTGTTGACAAAAGAGTATTAGAAATTTCAAAAAGCAAAGCCTTGAAGCGGAAGGAACATACTTCCACGTGGCTTTAGTAATGACTTATGAGCTGGCCATCAACTCCATTAGAGCAGAGGACATTTTGGTTCTGTTCCATCCTAACACACAATAGGTACTACAGAAAAAATACCTCTGGTGGCTGTACATATCTGACCCAAGGCCCTCTGGACACCAGTTGCAAGAATCTGTTCTCCTGCACAAATGCAATTTTAAAAATTAGAAGACAAAAAAAAAACCAGTATAATGAAAATTAAAACCAACCTTAATCCCTATGCCAAGAAATAATCACAATTACCATTTAGTGCACTTCTTTTCCGGCTTTTAAAATAAAAGTATATCCCACATATATTCTGTGAGGCAAATCTTTAAGGATGAATACACGTTACTCAGGAAGTACAGGGACAATGGTAGAGGGACAGGGTACCATGATAAGACAGAAGCATGGAACCACATGGCTCATTAGGGAAAACTATAACAGCCCACTATTGAAAGGGTGGGAGTGGGAGATGTCAAGAGTAATGACATTCGTGATTGAACGGTATCTTGTGGGACAAGGCAGTCAACCCTTTTATGGACTTTCTTTCAACTCAGCAAATGGTCAATCAGGTAATTAGAGGGGACATCAAAGAAGAAGTGGACTCATTTAGTGATTTGGGGAGAGAAGTGAGGTGACAATACAAGTCTTACTAACTGTACATTTCCAGCCTCCACTTCACTCTTTGGTCTTTTTTTTTTTTTATCCCTACTCTTTCTCACGAACCCCAAGCCACAACTGAACTATTGTCATGTCTCATATACACCCACAGATGTCTCTTCTGGATTATCCCATGTACTCATTTTGAGTTCTCTGGCTCCTACTGCCTCTTCAATCCCACGGCTTCCTCTTTAGAAGGACTCCAAGACTGAATTTGTTCTTGAACATGTATCAGAGAAACATGAGGGGGCTTTGTGCTAGAAGAGCTGGGTAGGGTCTAAGTCTGTCCCCCTCCAAGACAAACCTTTCAAACTTGCTCTGTTCCCACTAGCTATGTTCTTGTAGCTGAAAAAACGTATTACACGAATTAAAGGCATTTGGAGCATCTAAACTTTTGTGTTCATGTTATATTTTGAACATCTCTGAGTCTTGACATATTTTTCCCTTGATGACATGAATTTTGAAGGGAGAAGCTATTGTCTTTCAAATTTTCCTTCCTTTCTGAACACGTTCTTTAAATGACCACTGCTGTATACTCACAGGTCACTACTGCAAACAAGAGATTCTTAGCAAAATAACGATGCAATATAAAGCAGATTTTGGGGGGATGTGGACAGGACAGGATCTCTCTACATAGTCCTACCTGATAGCCCTAGCTGTCCTAGAACTTACCATGTAGACCAGACAAACTTGAAACCATGATTTCTAACTCCAGTTCCAGGGGATCCCGTTCCCTCATCTGACCTCCATGCCACAATGTAGAGTTTAAAACAGGAAAGCTGACTTAGAGTTGGGTAGTCATGTGTTCGTCCTCCATTGGCCTTTTACAGCCCATCCCCCAACACGCACATACAATGTTTTCCAAATTAAAACAGGAAAATCTTTCTCTTTTGCTTCCTCCTGCCTCCTCCTCCTTCCCCTGTCACTTCCTCTCCTGTTTCTAGGACTCTCACTTGGTTCATATGATTCACAGAGAATTCTAGGCAGCACATAGGCACCGCTAGTATTGACTGGATTAAGTTATTATGCTTTGAAGGAATATCATTCCATTCTAGTGTTAGCACTTGTCACAGTCATGCCATATTGAGTGGAGGGCTTGGAACTCACGCCTGCAGCCATTCCAGTATACTTCCTAGGTGTTGATTTTCTGACGTGAAACTTTTGTTTTGTCTTCTTTTTCAATGTAGTGGCATTTTCAATACTGGACTTAGAATATTCCCTGACTTGACCAAAATTTATTCCACGGATGTATTCTTTATACTGTAAGTATGCTCAACATGCAGTATTTGGTATATTTCCTTTACCCTCTGACAAGAATTGGGGTGCAGTTCATGGGAACTAACAGAAGCCAGGAAAAGCAAACAATTCCAAGAGAGAGCAGTGGGCAGGGTAATTGTGCTGAAGGATGGAGTGAGGGATTAGTGAAGGGTGGGCACAGTTTACTAACTGTGAGTCACTGGTTATTCTGACAAAAACAGTTCTCATAGGATGATGGGAATAGGAAGCTAGGTTGAAATGGGTTTGTGCTGGCTAGTTGTATGTCAACTTGACAAAAGCTAAAGTCATCTGAGAGAAGGGAACCTCAATTTTAAAAAATCTCTCCATCAAATCAGGTTTGAGGTAGGCCTATAAGGCATTTTTTTTAATTAATGCTTGATAGAGAGGGCCCATTCCATTGTGAGTGGGGCCATCCTTGGGTTTGTGGTCCTGGGTTCTATAAGAAAGCAGACTGAGCAAAGCATGAGGAGCAAGTCAGTAAGCATCCCCCTCCATGGACTCAGCTCAGCTCCTGCCTCCAGGTCTTTGCTCCAACAGAGTTCCTGTCCTGACTTCTTTTGATGATGAACAACCATAAGGTAGAAGTGTAAGCTGAGTAAATCCTTTCCTCCCCAAATTTCTTTGGTCATGGAGTTTCATGACAGCAATATTAACCCTAACTAAGATAGGGTTCAAGAAAGAATTGGGGGAGAGGGATTAGAGAGAGAGAAGAAAGCCAATTATTTTGAGTTCTTCTAGCTTCATCTCTGTTGTCAAAAGAAAACAGAGGGTAGGGGCTGGAGAGATGGTTCAGAGGTTAAGAGCACTTGCTGCTGTTGAAGAAGACTCAAGTTCGGCTCTTAGCACCTACATGGCGGCTCACAATGGTTTCTAACTCCAGTTCCAGGGGATCCTATTCCCTCATCTGACCTCCATGGGCACAAGGCACTGGGGAAGAAGAGATGGTTTATTTGGCTACAGTTTCAAGTTACAGACCATCATTTCAGGGTAGTCAAAGCAGCGGGTCATATCACAGACACAGAGCCAAGAGCCGATAGACACATCCTTGGTTGCTTACAACTCAGTAAGCTTCCTCTACTCTTACGTAACTTAGAATTCAGGCCCTGAAATGGCGCCACCATATTCATGGAGGGTCTCCCCATCTCAATTAATCAGGACAATTCTTAGCCTATTTTATTTCATGTTTTACATGAAATGTTTAGTTTATTTAGTGTATATGTGTGGAGGTCAGAAAACAACACTCAGGGGTAGCTTCTCAGAGTTGAATTCAGGTTGTCAGGTCTGACAGCAAATGCCGTTACCCACAGAACTGACTCAGAGGCTCTGCCACCTGCATTTAATTTTTAAATGATGAAATTATTTCTGAGGGGAATAACCGAACAGGGAGGGGACTGCTGATAACAAGAATAGCTTATTTTTCATATTTTCAGATTTCATTTTATTTTTCATATTTCCACTCCTCCTGCTCCACTCAACCATTACCTTGCAAGGCATAAAGGGAAGTTGTTGGTTTCCTTTTCAACAAACAGTAAAGCCAAGAACCAGAAAATGAGTGTGTGATCAGAGCCCCACAGAGAGTCAAGGGCCATACTTTAGATCGATTCTAATACTTCGTTCCAAAAGCATCAGTCAAACCAGTTGTCTTACCTAATCATACAAATAAAAAAGTATGGAGACAGAAGAATTGGAAAGGTTGAATTCACACTGCATAATCAGCAAAGTGTAGAATAATTAGCTGCAAGCTTTCTGGTGGTTTTTTTTTTTCTTCAAGAAGGGGTTTCTCTGGGTAGTCCTGGCTGTCCTGGAGCTCTCTGTATAAACCAGACTGGTCTCAAATTCAGAGATCTACCTGCCTCTGCCTCCCTAGTGCTTGGATCAAAGGCACCACCACTACCTAGCATGCTGCAAACTCTTAATATTTTTTTCCCTAGGGGGGAAAACATGACCATGTCTCTTTGCTACAGATAAACTCAGGTTAAACATAAGCAGTCCTCTGGGAGCACGTGGCTGGCAGTGTTTTGCAAATAGAGGACATTCTAATGATACTCATGAAATGAAATCCACCGATCCCTTTCCCCTGATCCTTTTATTGACATAGAAAATTCTCGTTGCTACAGACAGAGTGTTACAGATTCAGAAGTCTCTAGCTCCATCTGCTTCGAGATAAGGAGTGAGGCAGAGACCTTAGCTCACCATGGAACTTGTTTGCTTGATGCATGCTCCACTCTGAATGTGTGTCCGTCCAGAACAGCTCTCACCACATCCTGTGACCACCAGTGATCAGAATCGGGTCAAAGGAGCAGCTAAAACTGAGACGTGTTGTGGCTGGTTCCCTGAAGTGCATATATGCAACAAGAACCCATTTTCAGCATTCTTTTATCAACAGTTTTCATCGCTTTCTCTTGCAGTGAAATCACAGACAACCCTTACATGACTTCAGTCCCTGAAAACGCATTCCAGGGACTGTGCAACGAAACCTTGACCCTGTGAGTATTCAGTTTCACTCTCAACAATACCTGAATTTTATCTGAGGCTACTGTCATGGTTTTTTATCCCCGCTAAAAGTATGTCTGAATTTGGAAGCAGTGGGAGGGGGGATGGCATAGGGGGTTTCCAGAGGGGAAACCCAGAAAGCGGATAGATAACATTTGAAATGTAAATAAACAAAATATCCAATAAAAGAAAAGGAAAAAAAGACAAAACAAAATATACACCACAAGCAACAAAACCAACAGATTACTTCTCAGTTTCTTACAATTATTTAGAATAAACTCAAATTTTAGAATTCTTCTTCAACATGGCCATCTTTTAAGCATTCATCATTATTAGCTATAGAGCCCCAGTCTCCCTAGCAACTTGTACTGAAGTCTGAGCATCATTATTCCTAGAGATTAAAAAAGCAGGGTGGAAGTGGAATTTTTTGAAAGAAGGTAAAATATTTTAAATTCAAAAAATAATAATCTATACATTCAGATGAATGTCTTCTCAAGTGGGTATCTTTTAAAAACTGCTGCCACGCCTCCAGTGTTGACATGAGCTTAACTGTCACCTGAAGCACTCTTCTCTTTAATATACTCTCATTGGAAAAAAAAATCCTGGGGGCTAGAGAGATGGCTCATCAGTTAACAGTGCTTACTGAGCTTGCAGAAGACCTGAGTTTGGTTCCCAGTAACCACATCGGGCAACTCAAAACTGCCTGCAACTCAGCTCCAGGAGATCTAATGCCTTCTTCTGACCTCTATGGATACCTGCATTCACATGTACACACACACACACACACACAAATAATAATAATAATAATAATAATAATAATAATGAACTTTTTAGAAATCTTTTGCAAACCTTTGTTCTTCTAAGTCTGCATTTGAGGAAAATCTGGCTTACTGGCACCCAGGACTAGAGAATGAAGCTTCAAACCATAAGCATCTTATGTCCCTAACAAGGCATACTCTACAGCTTTCTTGAGGAATGTATATGAATGACATGAGAAATTTTATGCACATTTTTGATACTAAAGCAATGAAAGCCAATGATTGAAACAGAAAAAAAAATGAACAACACATATCTTACAGGCGGTCTGCCTTATTTACTTATTTATTCAGTTCTGGGAATTCAGTGAGCCAGGAAACTATTCAGTACTATGCTAGGCAAGTACTCTACCACTGAATTATATGGCCATTGTTTTTGTTCTCTCTCTCTCTCTCTCTCTCTCTCTCTCTCTCTCTCTCTCTCTCTCTCTCTCCCTCTCTCCCTCTCTCCCTCTCTCTCTGTCTCTCTCTCCTCTCGATTTTAGGAAACTGTACAATAATGGATTTACTTCAATCCAAGGACATGCTTTCAACGGAACAAAGCTGGATGCGGTGTAAGTTTAGGGTTACCATGGTAACTGTCACCATTCCCCACATCTCATTCCCAGGGCTGTCCAGAGGGTCTGAATTCTGTTGAGATCTATTTTAAGTATCTCAAGCCTTGAAAGTAATGCTAAAGAAACTTGACAAGAGCCATCTGAAGTGGATACTTAATGTTGGCCCCAGTTCTATACCCCAAAACTCTCATTCTCAATAAAATGGAGATACACACCATTACCATCAGTTATCTTATAGGTGTGTGTGTGAGTGTGTGTGTGTGTGTGTGTGTGTGTGTGTGTAAATGTTCATCTGCTAGTACATGAGGTGAAAGAGTATCTTTGCACCCAAAGGTGCTTTCAAAATGTGATGCAATCTGTTTTGACACATTTTTTCTTTACTAAAGATAAATGATACCCAAATGGCCAAACAAAACAAACAAACAAAAAAACAGACTTACATTTTATTTATCTTACAATGCCTTTTTTTTAAAAAAAATAGTGTCTTGCTATGTAACCCTGGCTGTCATGGAACTAGTTATATAGACAAGGCCGGCCTTGAACTTACAGAGATCTGCTTGCCTCTGCCTCTCCAGTGATACATTTAAAGCTAGGCATCACTTGACATTGCATCCGTCTCTTCCTTAAAACATTCCTTACATTGTTGCTGACCGTGAAACCTGAAAGGCCTTATGAGTCTAAATGTGTTGTGTACTGCTTTGCTTCTCAAACACTCTTAGACATGCAAGCCATCAAGGGATCTTGTGCAATACAGATGCTGATCTGTCACTTGAGCTAGGCTGGGGGAGTCTGTATTTCTAACACACCCTTTCATGATGCTGATGCTGCAGCCCATGGACTGACTTTTAAAATAACTATACAACTAAACACAGAGAATCTAGGAAGAAAAGAACACATGTGGAGATTAATTGCTTTGGGCTGATATTCTGGTTATCATTATTAAGTACTGGCTTCTGGAATGGTTCCATTTTAGAATGAATACCGGGTTCCTTCTAGTTAGGCAAGGTTCTCTATACCCTATAGAGGTGAAATCTAGCTCTTGTCCAGGCTTTTGGGTTTCCTTCTAGTCTCTCTATGAGAGGAAGGGTTAGAGTATCATTCACTTGGGTATTTGGTAAAACAAGGGTTGTTATGGCTTGATTTTATTCATTTCTTTAATATAATTACAGGGGAAGCTCTGAAAGGCACCACAGGATACAGGATACATAAATTCTTGTACATCAAATTTACAGAATTGGAAAGCCCGATTGCACTAATCTTACACAGTCCTTTATTTACTTCTCAGTGTAGCTAGCGAGGGCCTACAGTGCACAAGACACTGTGTTAGCCACTAGCAAGGCAAAGAGAAGCAAAAGCAATGTACTTCCTGCTCACAATAAAAATTACATTCTTAGAGAGTCAATACAAACCCAGCTACACCAGCAATCAAAGTATGTTAGGAAGAAATTTATCCAATTCAAAATGTGTATCTGCTAGAAAATATACAAGTACAGAATATGCAGAGATATTGATCTCCTTCTCTAAATGTATCCCGTGGTATTTAAAGATCAGCATTTAATATTATGAAAACACCATCAACTATTGTCTCCTTTGATTTGACAGCAGTCACTCCAAGCTAGCTGGCCCACAAGCTTCAGGTCTTCAAATTAGTATCTCTACCTCTGATCCCAGTATAGGAATGCTGGGATTACATATGTGCCACCACTCCAGGCCCTTACGTGGGTTCCAGGAATCCAACTCCAGTAGTCCCGCTTGCGTGGAATGTGCCTTTATCCCTGGCCATCTCTCTAGACCCTCCTCACATCATATTTTGTAACATAGCTCAGTCTTTACTGGGTTTCTTAACTAAGAAAAACGTGTTACTTGTCTATAATAATTTTCCTAACATGGCTCAAAGATTGTAAATAGCACAACCTCTCTAGAACTGTGTTTAGCTATCTCTAGGTTCTGGCTGAAATAATTCATCATCCAGCACAGCAATCATCACCTCCTGCCAGTGCACTTCAGTGATCAGATCTGACCTCGATTACACCCATTGTTTTAGCGTGACTGAGTAATGTTATCACGGCCAAGTTGGACGAATCCACACTGAGGACAAGCACTGTCATCACAGCAGCAGCAGCCCCCTCCTTGGTTAAAAGTTTGTGAAAATCATAGCAAATGGGGAATAGCTCCTAGCCCTGTGGTTTCACAGAGAACCAAGCCCATTGCCATCACTCAGATGACATACCGCCTAATGTGAGTATCCTCGCTCAAAGAGAAGTTGAACTGCTCTCAACCGTAAGCTGGGGCACCTGTTCCTTCTCTGGACCTCTCCACTGGCGCTTTATACAGTCTTCTAGAGCTGAGTTGCTTCACCCACAGTGTCTGAGTCTCTGAGATGAATTTTCTCTTGTTGAATTCTAGTTGTTTAGCTTCTAGCTAGAAGTAAACATTTGGACCAAAAATAAATAATACAACTTGGCTGTGTTAAGGACTTACCCAGACAGTAATCGTTATGAGCAGAGGAGTCAACACAAATAATGTGCTAATTAGCGTCACACATTAGCTGATTAGAAGCAATTCACCACAGCCTAGAGCCACTGGGAAAAGATGACGGTAGAGAAGATTATCGGATTAAGTAGACTGCTATTTCTCACGGGATAAGTATTTGAACAGCTTGTAGGATATGCTCCAAGGTTGGCTGTCTCCTCTGCCTCCTGCAATCTTGAGTGCTTTCTCACCTGTCACTGTTGACAGACAAGTTTCTGAAACCAACAAGATTTCCACAAAGCAGTCCAGCTTCACTTTAGATTAATGAAAGGGCTAGGTGCTGGATCCCTATCATTTTCTGAATAACAGGAGCCAAGTGGAAAACAAAAACAAACAAACAAACGAAAACATCGTTCTCCACAAACACAATCCCAGGTGAGTATCACACCATAACCAGGTGCCAACCCTAGTTTCCCCTAAAGGAATCATAAAGGAATGAGCTGAAATTCTATATTGGAACTGAAACGGATCCTTGAACTCCCCAGAGAACACAGTCCAGGAGGACCAGCAAATGTCCTCACCACAGTAACACTACACCCCTCTCTTTGTTACTGATCTCTCCGACTGTTGAATAAAACCTGTCCTATCTGTGAATTATTCTATTGAAAATACATTCAGGGGCTGGAGAGATATCTCAGTGGTTAAGAGCACCAACTGCTCTTGTAGAGGACCCAGGTTCAATTCCCAGCATCTCCACAGCAATTCACAGCTGTCTGTAATGCCAGTTCCAAGTGATCTGAACCCCTCTTCTGACCTCCATAGGTACTGGATGCACATGGCACACAGACACACATGCAGGAAAAACATTCAAATGCATAAAATAAATAAGCCTCAAAAAAGAAATGTTTTAAAAGCGAGTCCAAGAGAACTTGAACACACACACACACTCACACACTCACACACACACACCCCATATTGTCGAGCCTGTCAATTGAATGCTTTTCCCCAGCTCCTTGATGTCTTCATTTTTCCAACTCCATTATTCTCCCCTAACTGTGAGATACATCGTTTTCAGACAGAGTAGACATTCTCAAGTACTGAAATGTGGAAAAACTGACAACTGCTTTGTAGTAAAAGCTTAATTTCTTCACCAGGTTCTCAAAGAGGCAGAGTCCATCCAAATAATGAAGAGTTATTAAGCAGACAGGGTTAGCAGCATCTGTTTTACTTTTGAAGGAACTAGTAAGGCTTTCTTGGAAGCCCTTCCTATCACATTATCAATCCTGACTTTTAGGAAATCTCTCTCTCATCACTTCTGACAAGTCCTCCTAACCTTTTGAACCTTCTTTATGTTCATCTTCTATTACCAGCCTCACATAGAATAGTCATTGTCTAGAATAGGCTCCCATCTGGTTTGCCAAGGTTTGTGACCGATTTACCTAAGCCAATGTGTACAGCACAGTACGGGGATAAGTTATGATCAAGAAACCTAAACTGGCATGCCCAGAAAATAGCATGTGGTTAATGAGATTAGTGAAAGCACTTCCTTCCTGCATGTTAAAGCTTCAGTGTCTGTAATTCCTCACACTTAGCTTCTGGTAGAAGCTGCAAGGAGAAGTCAGAACCCAAGATTCAAAGCTAAAAGAGAAAACTGTCAGATTCTCCGAATGTGGAAGAGGATCAGGAGTCCAAGGTCATCCAGGGCTTCATAGTAAGACCCTGTTTCAAAAAAACCCAACAGACTGAACAGGGAAGCATGGCAGGTTCATTTGTAGGCACCTTATCATCCTCAGAGGTTAAGTATACAAACGACCATACTGTCTTTTGAGAGCGGGCCCCCTGTCAGGCTGGTTCAACTCCGTTCACTTTGGCTGTACCTCTTGCTACATTCTTTCTCCCATTCTGGACTCTGGCTGCCTCTTTCAGTTTGAAGTCTTCTGCAACATTTCTGGTAAACTGTAGTGCTTATCAAGCAGTCTCCTTGTCCTCAGGGGTATATTAAATATCAGATGAGAACACTACAAAATTGGACAAATGATAATTTCGTTTTACAATAATTTCTGGTGATTAGAGCAAGCTGATATTTCCTCTCAATCATTGGAGATGAAGACTGGGAAAGAGAAGAGCTTAGCAGAGCTTACTTGATTTTGAGCAGCCTGGGAGCAAAATGTGATTGGTAGCTACACTGGCCCAAGGATCAAGAGTTACAACCTGGTGTGGCCACTATCCCCAACATTCTTGTCATATTACAGAATTGTGTTCATCAAGAGTCTCTCTCAAGCTGGGTCTTTTTTTTTTCCCAAGGTGGGTCTTACTCACTTCAGCTACAACCAAACACAAGATCCTCATAGACAAAATGGATTGACTGAACGAACCTGTGAACATGAGAGTACTGTTATCCAAGCTTTATATTGTATTAACCCACTGGGAACATGTACAATGGCTGCTTTGGCATTTTACTCAGATATCTGAACATACAAGAGGCTGCTCTCCTCCACAGGAAGTGCAGAAGCCTGCTCTGCAATAGACAGAATCTGGAATGACCCCCAAAACCCATGGGTTAAAGGTTTGGTGTTCCAGCTTGGTGTTAGAGGGAAATGGTAGAACTTTTAAGAAATAAAGATTAATAAGAGGAAATTGAGTTATTGGGGATTTTCCTATGAAAGGTATATTGGTCTTGGGCCCTTCGTTTTCCTCTCTTATTAGGTGCCCAGCCTCGACTGCCTCATGCTCCTACTGTATGAGCTACGGTATGAGCCATGGTATCACAGGCATGAAAATAATGGAATGAACACATCTCCATGACTGTAAACAGAACTAATCCATTTCTCATTTACACTGACTGTATCCATCCTTCACTTTGTTATAACAGAGAGCTATCTATTAATAGTCTCTGGAAGTGTGTGCTCAGCCACTACTTAAAGAGGCTGTGTGTGAACCATTCTTTGTAAACGAGCTGCCTCAGCATTTACAGCCATCAGGAAGGTCCATTTCCCCAAGCCCACCACATCATACACTAAGTCTTCTTTAAATTTTCATTATTTCTTCTTTAAACAGTCATATATGTCCCCCTCAAACCCCGAATGTGTCAATGTCACTATCTTGAAGGAAAGTTATATTTATTTATTTGTTTGTTTGTTTGCTCACTCTTAATTTCCACTCAGTATTTCTGGAGCACCAAACTTAGCACTGGGTATACGACAACAGATGGGGCATGGAGTTTTCCATTCTGATTGACAAGACATAGTATTCAAGTAAGAGAATAAATTAGGTAATTACAGATTCTGTTAAGGTTAGGAAGAAACAGGGAATTGGACAAAAACTAGTGCTACTTTAAATGAATAATCCTTGACCTCTATTTAAAAAAATAATTGAAAGAGTCTAAACTGTATTCAAATTTGTGAAACCTCATTGTTTGTAATCCTGATACTCTGTTTAATGGCTTAGCATGCTCAAAAGAGGGGGTTGGGGGGTTGATAAAACTCTTCAGCCTTGGTGGTTGACTGTTCTAGTCTTACCCACACTGCTCCAGTACAGACACACCTGGATCCAATTAACTAGTGAGCACTTTCTCTATGAAGGCTCTAGAGAAAGAGTTCAAACGGAAAGTCTTCAATTACTCTACTATTGTTAGGCATCCTCCTTAAGAACTTGCATCCTGTAGTGCAAAGCTCGCTGCTCCACTAACAAAGCCATTATCTATAACTAAGCAGACCTCCCAAAGGTCTTTACTGTATTTGTTTTGCATCAAGCCATTCGCTAATGTTTAAATTGCCTACTCTGTCCTGTGAGTTAAAATAAGTGTAAATTGGGGTCGTTTATAATAAAGATGCATGTACTTTATTTCATTTTAGATAATTTTACTACCCAAAAAAGCTATGAGGAAGGGAAGGGCCAACTTTAAAATCCTTGGGTGCTTTTGTTCAGTGGGAGGAAATTTTATTTCAAACACACTTTGTGACTTAAATTGCACAAGAAATACTATTCTTTCAAATGGCCAGTGTGCTATAAAAGAGAAAGGGGTCAACGTACCCATCACTTTTCAGGAAAGGTACTCAATGTAACTCGATTTACATAAGTATCCCTGCGCCAGAACTGGTATTGTTGGATAAGATGCATGCCGTTAAATTAAATTTGAATTTCAGATAAGCAGCAAATAACTTCCGTAGGAAAATTTATGCTTGAAAATTATTCACTGTTTATCTGTAAATTGAATTAAAGAGGCATCATGTATTTTAATTTTTGCTAAATCTGGCAACTCTGCTCAAAGCAAGGAACCATTCCTATGACCTACCACCACTCTTAGCATCTCCATCCCAGATCTCAGTTAAATTCTAGCTTCGAAGATATATGGGGATAAAGGTCAATCTAAAGAAGCAAAATTTGAGTCAGGGTAGAAGAAAACAATTGCCAGGCAATAGGAAATTTAGACAACTTTGGTAAAATGTAGATATGCAAACTAGACCCTAAACATAGTTCATTTTCTTTCTTTCTTTCTTTCTTTCTTTCTTTCTTTCTTTCTTTCTTTCTTTCTTTTTTTTT